TCTCTTTGAACCATTTTGGTTGTCTTCCTGTTGGTTTGTCTTTCATGATTGTTATGATTTGTCTCCATTCTAGCATATGTGTTTAATATACATTTGTAACTTGTTTAATAAATATAAGATTGTATTTCTGAAGCTTATGTTTGTTTTTGCTGAATTATTCTGTACCTATGAGGTCTTCTAATGTGTGGCAGTTATTTTTTGAAAAGGTTTTAACTCTTTTGGACAGTTTGCTGAATTTGATGTTATATTTCTTTGTTTGGATAAGCCATAGGATTTGACTCCATCTATTTTTGTTCTTTGGATATTTGGGTTTCCTCTGTTAGGATGTTGTGAGGTGTCTAGGCATTGTTTTGAAAGTGTTGTAGTCTGGCTCTTGCAATTTTTCCAGATATTTTGCTTGTTGAGGTTTCTAATCATTGCTTTGGCATGTATTTTGATTTGTTTATCCCCTATATTTGTAGGTTTGTAGCCAAAGTAGCAGTATACTTTACTGTTGATACTTGTTGTTGAAAGATTGTTCTTGTGTTTGCAGTTCGCTCTAATAATGCTGTCACATTTGTTACATATGTATTCTGTAGCTACTATATCTTGAAGCAGATATTCTATTGCTGGGCTCAGGATATGATTGATTATGTATCTTTGTTGCTTGTCCATTATATAACTTCTGGATATTGTTTGTATTGTTGTTTGGATTTTGTGTTTAATTAAATCTAATTAGTGTTTTTTGTTACCTGTTGCCATAATCCATACTCTCAGGATCCTAATGGCTTCTGTTTTTGGCTTGTGTGTTATCCTTTGTCCCTGCATTTTAATGGATCTGTTTTGATTAAGATTGATCGTGATCAAGACTGCTTTTGTTAGGTTTATCTTGAGATTGGTTATTTTTGCAAAGCTTTCCACAGTTTTTGTGATTCTTTGCATGTTTTGTTGATTTTGAAAGATCCAGACTGTGTTGTTCATATATAATATTGATGTTATATTGATGAAGTATAGCTTCCATTTATATTGATTTTTCTACTTTGGTTATAAGAGGTCATAATATATTCTTTACAGCAGTGAAGAGATTGTGTCTCCTTGGTTGATTTCTACTTCTAATTGGAATGGACTTGTTAGCCCATGGCATGTGATAATTTGATTTTTTCTGTTTTCTAACAGATTCATAATTAGGTTAATAATCTTAGCTGGAATTTTGATATGTTTCATTGCTTTTTCTAGTATGTCATGTTTCATTAAGTCATATACTTTGCTAATGTCTTGGCTTAGGATCCAGCATTCTTTTTTGTTTTCTCTGGCTTCCTCCAGCACATTATTCAAGATGCTGATTGGTTCTTGTGTCCTGCCACCTGGAAGTCCAGCCCAGTTTCTATCAGATAGAATTGAGTGTATTGTTATTACCAGAGCTAGTCTGTTGTTAATGATCTTAGTAAAGAGTTTTTTGGATTTTTTCCAGAAGAGAGATTGGTCTGACAAGATTAAGGTCATACTGCCAGTTGGTTCTTTTGGGAATTAGATAAATAATGTTATCTTGTCATTTCTTTGGGATCTTCCCTGTTATTAGTGTATTGCTAAAAAGTGTGGTGATTCTTCTCATGACTTTTTGTTCGAGGTGTTTGAGAAGTGAATAGCTGATGCTTGTTTTCTCTAGGGCTAAGTCATTGGACATTTTCTTGAGAATTCTGCTAATTTCAAAAACTGTTACTGTTTTGGTTGTTTCATAATACCATTTCTCTTTGATGTCTTTTTTTGATGCATATTCTTGTTCCCATGGCTTCCATTTCTGTTGTGCTGGTCTGGTCTGAGTTTGAGTGTGTTGTTGAAAGTGGATGCATATTTTTTCCTTGATTTCATCTGGGTTTGTAGTAACTGTCAGTTCTGACTCTTTTGTAATTAGTTTGTTTATGACTATTTGATCTGCTTAATGATTGAGAATAGAGTTGATCATTTTCTTTTTGTTTGCTATATAGCTGATCTCCCTTTGTTTGATGTATTTCTTAATCTGTTCTTGTTGCTTCGCTTTGATTTTTTGTTCTATTGTTCTTTTGATTATCTGATATGTTTGTTTTATTCCCTTAATCCATATGATGATTTTTGTTGATTTTGGATTTGTTTTCTTCCATAGTGGGATCAAATATGTTGTCATTCTTATTTTATTTTGTTGATTGTCATTATGATCTTGTCTTTGTTGCTATCTATTTTTTGGTTGTAAATAAAATATCTTTTGACAAATGTATTGAGCTTTCTAAGTGCTGTGAACTTGTTGTATCTTATTAGTGTGTGGTGTATTGGGTTTTTTCCTTTCCTCTGTAGTTTCTTTTTTGTTAGGTGTTGATTTGCTAATTTGTATATTGTCTATCATGTTATGTTTTATAGCTTGTTTGTCATGTACTTTATTATATTGGGTTTTTGGTTCTGCTTGCAGATTTCTCTTTCTATTTGTTCTTTATACTTCTCCTATTGCTTTGTCTTAATGTTCTAAATGTCAAAGATGTTTTTTTGGTTGAATGCTGAAGGTTTTTTTTGTTTTGTAATGAGCTTTGTTACTTCAATTTTGTAGAGTATGATGTCGTGGTCACTATGTGTTAACATGTTTGAGAAGTTTATTTCTGCTTCAATCAGGTTCCAACTTTGGTTCAGAAACATTCAAATGTAGTCCATTCTAGTTTTTGTGATGCATGTGTTTAACCATATGTATCACTTTCTTTCTGGCCATAGCTCTTTGAAGATGTTGATATGATTTAGTTGTGTCAAAGTTCTGATTGTGTGTGATGTGGGCAGTTGGTTTTTGTCTACTGGGTGTTTGTCAATTCTTGGATTGTGAAGTGCATTAAAATCTTCTGCTGTTATAATGTTCCAGTTTTTGTGGTGTCTTTTCCAAATTTTGTCTTGTATCTATTTTGTGTCGAGAGATGTTTTTGATTGCCTTTGAAGGGAATGTAAACTCCAATAATGCTAATACATTTGTTGCCTTTGTAGTTTATATTTATGCAAATTGCTCTGTTTGCTAATTTGTCTACTTGGCCAATGTGATTTGCAATTTCTGTTTTGATTATAATTATAATTCCTATGCTTTTGTTGTTGTTGCTTCAAATTGTATAGTAGTTTTGAAACTTCCAATGCTTGTATTGGTTTGTTGTGATCTGGGTCTCTGTGAGTATTGTGATGTCTATATATTCTTCCTGACAATATGCTAGTCAGGTTGCTCTTTTGGTGAATCATTAAAGTCTCTTACATTATATGTTACTATTTTCTATGTGTGTAATTCTTGGTTTGTGATTTGTATTGTAGTTTTTTGGATTTATGGTTTCTTTTGATTTTTCTTGTTTCTCTGACTTTGTTGTCTAGATTTTGTTCATTGTGTTCATTTCCTTTTCCTGGTTGTTCAAGTAGTCTTCTTGTGTTGTAATTTGTTCTATGTCAATTTGATTTGTATCTGATAGGTTTGTTGTATTTGTGTCTTCTTCTGGATAGTTGTTAATTGAGTTGTATAAAGTTGTTAGATTATTTGTAATACTTTTGGCATCTGTTTTTATGCTTTGGTTGTATTGTTAAGTGGGGGTCTTGTTTCTTCTGAAATTAATGTATGGATTATGTTTGTCAAGTTGTTCATCATTTGATTATTGTTATTGATTGTTGCATGGATTTGTTGTTAGTGGGTTTGTAGGTCTGCGATTTCTTGTAATGTGTGTATATTATTCTTGGATCTTTTCTTGTGTCTTGTTGTCTCTTTCATGGTTGTTTCTTCCTCTATATCTTCTATTTTCATTGTGCCTATCCCTTCCTCTTCATAGTATTTCAAATTTGTGATTTTTTCATCCAATTCTGTCACTTGTTGCTTGATCTCTTAAATGTTGTATTGTATTTGTCCTAAGTGTTTCATTATTTCTTTGAGATCTGTATTTTCTGTTATGTCATCTGTAGATTGGGATTGTTGTCTCACTGCTGCTGCATATGATCCTGGTCTCTGCTTCCGGGTGTTGACTTTGTTAAGTTCAAAGGTTCTTTTGATATTTGTGGTCTTAACAGGTTTAAATTTTTGATAAAGTTTGTCAAATTTGGCAGCCTGTTCCCTGTTGTATGTTTTTTATTGTGCTTGTCTTTTTTTGATTGGGCAGTTCACTATCAGATGTTCATGTGAGTCGCATATGATACAGGTTTTGTTTTTTATGTGTACCCATGTTACTGTTGTTTTTTCCAAAGTGAAATCTTGTTATATGGCTTCTTAAAAATCTTGTTCTGTCTTAAAACTAATTACTGCAACTTTCCTTATTCTGTATGTTCCTGTTCTTGGGATATAACATGTTTTTGCATTGATTTGTTGACAGATGTGTTTCAAGTCAAAGACTGTTGTGTTGGGTGGCAGGTTCACCAGTTTTGCTATCTATCTGCCTCTCTTTTTCATTTCTTTGAGGTTCCACTTTGCATCAAAGACTCTGACCATGTCTGCATTGAGTGGTATATTTTATATGTTGACTACTCTAATCTTACTTTCCTGATCTTGATATGTAATTGTTGCTGATTGCCATATTTGCTGTGTGCTCATTTTTATGTTTTGAACCTTACCGAATTTGGCAAAAGTTTTTTCCTCCTCTATCAGTTTTATATTTAATAGGATATCCTATACTCTTATATTATTTTCTTGATTTGGGTATATGTTTTCAGGTTACATGAGTTGCATATATTTGCTTTCCAGATTAGGTAAGTTGATTGTGCATACCTGTTCTGTGGCTTGTTAATTGTTGAATGTTGTGGTAATCTGCTCTTTGTCTTTCTTTCCTTTACTACAAATTGCCAAAAGGCCTTCAGGGCTACTTAAAGCTTTTGTAATAAATTGGATTTTCTGTCCCATAGTGTTACCAGGAACCTCTGTTGCTTTTATTGTTATTTTGCAGCATTGTCTATTATATCTCATTGCTTTGTCAAAGGGTGATTGTGGTCTGGATTTTGCAGTTCTGCTGTTTTTCTTTTTCTCTTTTCCTGCGATGTTTTACTTTTTTATCCACTGTTTTTATAGTTTGATATTTTTATCTCAGCATTGCTGTTATCTATATGAGCTGGTATTACTGTTTGTTTTCTTTTGATGCTTTTTTTCTCAATCAGTTTTATTGATGTTCTGTTTCCATGTGGTTTTGTTGGTTTCATGAATTTTTCTGTCAATGCTTCTTCTACCATTTGGCTTCATGACTTTGTTGCGAATTGTTAGGTAGGTGTGTTAGTCTGGATTGTTGTTAGCTGTTTCTGTTTTTCTTTGTTTAAAGTTGTTGCAACTATACTGTTTGAAGTTCTGGGCCCTTCATTTGTTGGTTTCTTGGTGGATTTCTGGCTTGGGGTATAGTATTGTTTCTCTAGTTTTCTGGATGTTTCTGCCTTTCGACATGTCTGTCACATTATAGTTTGGTCTATTAACCGCATTGGAACTTCTCAAGCTTCTTTGTAAACTCATATCTTCACTTCACTGAAATTTTCTTATTTGATAATTGTGTACGAGTGGGAAAGAGTCTGTAATATATAAATTTATATATAAAATATAGACAGAAATTAAAATTTTACTAAAAAAAAATTTTTAAAAAAATAAAATATAAAAATGAATAAAACTTTTAAGCTTATAAAAAATTATAAAAAACTTATTATTATATTTAATAAATGTTATTATAATTGGGTTATTTTTTTATTATATAAAATTATTTTTAAAAAATATCTAAAACCTTTAAAAACTCTATGTTTAATATAAAATTTATGTTTTTTAGTAAAATTTGACTAAATTTTAAGTTAAGTTAATTATTGAATAATTTTTTATATTTAATAAAAAATAATAATTATTATATTATTATCATTATGACTTTTATTTAACAAATATATGCATTAAAATAATTTTAATAATTTTTATTATTTCTATTTTGTAATATAACTAAAATCAATCATTTTTTTTAAAAAAATTTTTTAAATTAAATTTTAATAATATATTTTAAAAACTTTATTAAGTAAACTTGTTTTTTATATTCTTAAATATATTAATATGAGATGTTGTTTCTTTCACTATGTATACCTTGATTTATACAAATCAAATAAAGAGATAATGTTTACCTACTGAGATAATCCAATATATATATATATATATATATATTAATATAGATTTTATTTTATTTTATTTATTAGTTATTAAAATATAAAAAAAAAAAACTCTTTTCTACTCCCTTTCTATGCTTGAAAATTTCCTTTTTAGGAAATTTTTGAATTGTTTACTTTTTCTTCATCTTCCCCTTTTCATCTTCTTTATTTCTTTTTTCCCATATCTTTTTATTTCCCTTCCCTTATCTTCTTCTCTCCTTTCTATATACTTTTTTTATACTTTGCACCCTTCCCTTCCTCTTTTCCCTTTTTTCTCTTCCAAAGTCAGGTTTTCCCTTTTTCTTGAAGGTTTTTCTTTCTAGGCCTCTCTCTCTCTTGAAAACTCTGTCTCCATAACATCAACCCTCTGGTCAGTTAACTCCCTTCTCTCAAGGATCATATTAAGAAGTGATAATTTTTCTTAGGATATGGGCTTTGGAAATTTTTTCTCTTCCATGGTCCCTCAGAAAAAGGATGAATGGTTTACCCCCTCCAAAAGATTGACATGGTCATCATTATGGGAGGGTTAACCTAGTGTACAAACAATATATCTACCTCAATTTTCGTGAAACAGATATAAGATAAGTGAAACGAGTTTATTTTTGTAAGACCTTTGTTAATGTCACGTTGGTTTTGCTAGACGGCAGAAAAATTGTATCTTTTATAGAGTTATGCTTCGATCATCATTTTTTTTCACCTAAAGTAGAGATGTTCGAACGATTCTTTAACTTTACAGTAACGTAATCAGGTATTAGCATTTCTTTATTACTATAGCATATATTCTTGAGTTTTGCGTAATGGAAGATTGGCGAGAGATTATAATTCATGGATCGCTTTAGAGGCAGAGCCTCATGCTATGTAATGGCGCCTTTTAGGCTTGCTTTGCAATACTGGTAATCGCATTGACCCGCGAATAATTATGAAGTCTCGAAATGTTTATTCTTAATGAAGTTCATCAACAACAAAAAAATATTTAATATTAAAACTTATCTGTGGTAGAAATTAGGTTACACGAAGACGTGCTGAAAATCAATAGCGGAACTAGCAAGGCTAATATAAAAACCTCGAATACGGATCGTCTTTAACACGGATGTGCTAGCTTCCCCCAGCTATTCCATAAATGAGGTTTTATCCTAATAATATGCGCGGATTGAATAACGATGTTCCGATTTTTTATAAGCTTTACCAATATTTAAATAATAATAATATCCTTCATCGTCAGAGAAATCGCAATACCCTCCATCGTCGACATCATCTTCGTTGTTGAAGGAATCCTTAGATGCGATAACATCCTTACTTCGTGAGTCATTATCATCAGAAAAATTCTCAACTGGAAGCTGGTTCATGTCAATATCGCCATTATTATTAATGCTCCCATCGTAGGATTTCTCATTATCGGGTGATTCCAAGTTAGAATCCAATATTTCATCGGGTACGCTTACCTCAGTTTCCGGTAAAGATCTAGATGCAAGAGCGTTCTCACTATGAGAGACTTTCTTACTTTCCGCGTCTTCCAAATTAGAGGTATGATATGATGGGATAGAGGTTATGGTTGATTTACTTATTTCAGAATTAATCTGATCGTGAATCTTAGTCTCGGTTTTTGATAGTACATGGTTTATACCATTCTGAATTTGAGTGTTAGTAAGGTTTGAAATAACGTTTGCACTATATGTAACCTGCTCAATTTTTTCCATTCCTGTGAGATTAAAAAGATTATAAATTTTCTAGCTCTAAGAGTTTTCTGACGCAGATTCGCGTCTGCAATGTCAGGGAGTAACTGTTTAACTTCTTTAGATACCAGACTCCTTGCTGTTTTAATCTTAACTTTTGCATCGGAAATAATCTCATTAACCTTCTTATCATACCTTTTTATATAGTGATATTAATGCAAAATTTCTTCCTGACCAGATTGAATTGCCTCTCGAAACATACAAACTATGTTTTGTGCAGTAACCTGATTGTATTAGTTTCCACCATCCAGTAAGTTCTGATTATTAGTTATATTTTTTTTGGATAGTTCTTGTTTTAAATCTTGTTCTATGATCTGGTTTTTATCAGGCTGGGATAGATCATCATTACATTCGAATGAGTCTATAGAATCAGAATTAATAATGATTCAGATAGCGACGAGGATTCATTTTCCGAGGGAACGGTATCTGCATCATCTGATAAGTCAGAAGAGACATCCTGGATATATTCGCGTTGAATTTTCTTTTCCCGGTTCTTTTATTTTATTTTCTCACTATTTGTTTCTTTATGTGCTTTATCCAAGAATTCATCGACCTCCTTGTCTTCCAATGATATGATTTCTGCGGGAGATGTGGAGGTTACCGAATCTTGGCATATATCAGAATTAGATGTATTAGACTCCTCATTACGTAAGATTATCTGTTCATGAGAATCTTTAGAATTTAAAGTGTTATCAGTTATATTTGATACCGGGGTTTCATCACATTGTGGCACTATCTGTTTGGGAGTATCGTTAGAATTTACTGGAGAGTGCAAAACAACCGTAGAAATACTTTTTTTTTTTCCTGTTCTAATATAGCGAGTCTAGCCTCAAGTTCTTATTCTTTTGTTCTAGTTCCTCGACTCTAACATCGCGCTTTACATTCTCCTCAATAATCTGCTTCATCTTCGCATTTTCAGATTTAACTTCAGCAAATTTCTTTTCAAGCTCGGGAATATTGACATTCTCCTTTCTAAGTTTTACAATTTCAGCTAAGAGTTTAGCATTTAATTAATTCAAAAGTTCATTAGCATAGATAAAAAAACGAGGTACAGTAATATCTTGATCGGAATTACTGATTTATTGATGTAAAATAAATTACTAGATTTGGTAATACATAAACTTGTTTACAAAGTGAAATACGTTTCGTTTCTATACTAACTTCTTATCAGTTATAGTAAAGCCCGCCGAAATTTATGTTGTTTGCATTCCTAGGTGTTAGTAAGGTCTGGCATTCGCTTGCGAGCCTAATGATTCTTTTAAACTGCACAGGTGCACTATAGTACTGCGCATTTATTTTTAGAAATGACGGCTGTGTCGTGACGTAGTAGTGAAGATCACCTGTTTTTAGCTAGAATATATTTTTTTGAAACAGATTACAGTATATAAACAGAAACTTTGACTTATATACAAAAATGAATGGAAAGAAACGTCCGTTAAGCAGTCCTTTAACAAGGTCTTTATTTGTACTTAGTGGAAAATCTGTTTTAAATTCCGTTTTAACTTGATTTTTCACGTTTGCAGATATATCGACATTATGATATATTGCCTCGTTCTAGGTGATGCTTTTAGAAAAGCTTTCCTGGTTAATGTTAGTGAAGATACGAAAGTCTCTGCTCTCAAGAAGTCAATCAAGGATAGAAAACCGTGTTTTTCCAATATTGATGAAGACGACCTAGTTCTATGGAAGGTGAATATCCCTACAAATGGTAAAGACCTTGGAATTGTAATACTTGCTGAAAATATCAAAGAACAACTCGGAGGTGTGGAGTTGTCTCCATTCGAAAATGTTGGTCCTTACTTTGTCGAACCAGAACATTTTTCTGACCAGGAACCCATTAATAAAAATATTCGCATTATTGTGGAACCGCCACCAACTGCCACCACTTGTAAGTGTCTTCCACTCAGTAGATGAGTCTTGTTCTTTTCCACCCATTAATATTCTGTGATTAATCTTGTTATCTGAATCGTATATCTTTAAATTTATTATAGCCGTACCTCAAGTCAATTTGGAAAATCCGCATTCGATTTTAGCATGGATACAGAACTACAGCCCGACTGGAGTGACTGGAGCGAAACCAGCATTGCTTGTTGAATCATTTGGTGCTCAATTTACTTTATGTGGTCGTGAAAACACCATAAATACTCTTTGGTATGGCAACAGAGCCAATAGTTATGGGATTCTAAGCCGTTTTAGAAACTATTGTAGTGCAAATCCAAAAAAAGATCGTAATTTTCATCCAATTCCATTTCTTGGTTGTGGTCCTGGTACAGGAAAAAGTCGATTTTTGCAGGAGATATGTAACATTATTCACGAAAAAGTTCAATTATCAAATGATAATAAAGTTAAATCTATACTAGGAGAAGCTATTTTTCTGAATATTACATATGGAAATGGATCTGCATTTTCAGATTTTGATGTGGATATTGGTGCAGAAGCTTCGCTAGCATTGAGGATTTTATACACCTACTTTGTACATGGTGATGAAAGTATGCCCTATAACTTGTTTGCACGAAATATTGGAAAAAATGCTAAGCAATTGGGTCTGAGTGTTATTTTACGAGCTATTTATGAGAACAAGTGTAGAGGAAATATGAGAAAACTTGCAATTATTGTTGGAATCGATGAGGTCAACAAATTATATGACATAAATCGAGAAGCTTTTCGTTGTCTTGTAGCTAGTATTGGTACAACAAGTTGTGACTCAGGACCAATTTTTTTTGTTCCCATGGAACAATTGAGGGTCCACTTCAGTCAGTAATTACCAAATCTATGCATCAAGCTCTTCAGTTACCATTAGAATTATTGGATACATCTCATATGTTATTAATTGCATGTGATCTTGGATTTGACGAAAACTTTATCTATCAAAATAATCTTTTTAAACGTATTATTGCTGATATAGGTGGTCAAGTGCGTGCTTTAGAGATATTCTATGAATTAATTTGGGGTGAAGCAAAAACAAATAAATTGGAAGATATCGATTTAGTGGATATTATGCATTTACTTGAGGAAAGGTTACATTCACGCTATGACTTTAAAACTTTCGCAAGTCAAATTACTCCGGTGCTTGCGAATGCAATTTTAGAAAGATCTGTTGATGAAAATGATGGTATTTACACAGATGAATATAAAAATCAGTACATCTCATACAAAATGTTAAAATCCCTTGGCATTTTAACACTCGAGCCAATTGATAGTACAAGATTTTATATACGTCTTCCATATATTTGGGGTGGCTTCTGGTAAAAAATGTCGGTGATCGATCGATCTATAAATTTTGGAATTTGATGATTAATCCTGAGGAACAATTTTATTGGCAACAATGGAAAAATTTTAATATTAATTTTTGGGCTTTACGCATGTGTTTGCTCTCAGTACTTGGATATAAAACAATAAAGTTAAAGGAGCTGCTAAAGGGGGCATTGTATTCTGATGTAGATATGGATGTGAATGTGGATATTCCTGATTATAATTCAGTTCGAGTACATTATCTTAGTAAACGATACCCATTCGACGATACTATTTTAGATTTTAATAGTCAATTATGTGAAATTTCACATAATGATAATAATAAGATTTATAAGAATGGCGAAGGTGCAGCATGTGATGGATTTTCTTTTTTAATTATCAATTGCAAACAACCAATGTTATTAGCATTACAAATGAAATGGCGAGACTTGGAATCAGAAAATCCACAAAAAATTAATGATAAGTTGATTAGTAACGAATATAACAAAGTTAAGAATTTAGCAAGAAAGATTGGATTGGATAACTGGCTGTTGATAATTCTGTCAAACTGTTCGGGCACATTTAACAAAACTCTACTACCAACAAGATGCGCAATTGTTGACAAAAATAACTTCATTAAGTTTTATGGAAAGATATATTCATCTCGGGCTCAATTTACTGCTGGTAAGTTAATATAGCTTTAAAGAATTTGGTATTTCTTTCTCAGTTTATTCACAAAATTCTCTTTTTTTAAGCTCATGATAAGGTATGTGTTAATTCAGCAAAATTTTTTGAATTGAGAGTTATAGATAAAGTGGGACCAATAATTGCAAAAGGCATTATTGACGAACGTGAAAGTAGTAAAAGAAAATTTGTTGATGGTGAAGATCTATGTAAACGTACAAAATTTCCACGAATCTCTTTAGATTGTGTAGAATATTAGAAAGAATCCTATATTTTAACACAATTTAATGTACTGAATGTAATTAACATTGTATGGCGAATTCAATATAAATAAAGTTTTGGAAATAAGGGAAATATATGATACTATCAAAAAGAAGAGAATACGCGAATAATAGGCCATTTAATACAAGTTCCAACATCAAGTTTATTTTTTTGTCTCTTACTTTTCCAATAAATTTCTATAGCAATTAATCATAACAATACTCTTTCTACACCAGATTTCCAAAATAAATTATACCGCCTATATATAACACCATTACTCGCACAAACTATGTAAAAGATTATTCATGTAAGAGAACTTCCACAAGATCAAAACTACAATATACAGTAAATTTGGGGATTAGAAACTAAGGTAAAAAAAAAATAAGAAATGCAGTATTACCGATTCACACCGCCATAACTTATTTTTATAACGATCCACTCTGTCTTGTATTTAAGAAAGTTGTTGCTTAATGCAATTTTTTTATCGTTAATTTTACTGCGCTGATGTTGTATGGAGTTGATTAGATCCTATCACGTGGAATTATTTTTGATACTGCGTCTATTGTATGCGTGATTATGGTCAAAGATTTTCTCGGCAAAGATAAAAATGTCGATATATAACAAGATCAACATATCCATTTTATTTTGGAACATCTATAGAGGCAAGGAAGTCGATTAACATTGTGATGGCATAGCTAGCTGAGCAACAAATCAACTTACCTTATTTTTACTTTATTGAAAATACGAGTTTGTTTGATTGTTAATATCAATGCTGTAAATAATAGTAAGTTTGATTATTTCGCTTGATTTTTTTCATTTTGCTTGCACAAGACAGATAAAAGGATTCACTAACAGGGACATCACCATTTTATATAATTTGCAGGATCAATTTTGGTATACGTTTTGGGGGGAATTACGTTAACATGAACGCATTACGAAAATCTAATCAATGGCTCCTTAATTTAATAGTAAAAAGAATTTTACGCTATCCCGATGAAGTGATGATCCCCTATAATCCTGAACTATATAAAGAATGGTACCGCACATTTCAAATTCTGAATCGATAACTTCGTTGTAATCCCACATTCACCACATCACACGAAAAAAATAGTCATGTAGAAAATCGTGCTAAAGTGCTATTGATTTATTACATGTATCTATTGCAGAGAATACTGCGGAACAATATCTTCTAACTAAACCTAATTAATTTCATTTGTAATAGCCTACTCTTGATCCTCATTCCTAGATCCTAAATCCCTGTTCATTCGATATAGGTTAGGTTTTGTGGATACGGAATTCAATAGGTATAGAGTCGGGGACTCATGGCTTTGTCATAGAACTATACTCTGTTATTGCTCATATCCAAAAGAAAAAGGTACGTTTATTTACTTATCTTGCCGTGAAAACATTAGCTGAAAAGCCGGCTCCGGATAATGAAATTCTAACTAATGAGATCACTTTTACCAAGGAAAATTTATATACCCGTTGATACGATCCCATATAAATAGTCAAATAATCGTTCCCAAATGCTAGGTACGCCATTCTTTTCTTTTTATTGGTCTAGTACGCACTTTCAAGTTCTGGTAAATTTTGGGTGTAGCCAATCCTGATATTTCGTGGTTTTGCCTTAGTAATACAAAGATACTCAACGCTCTTGATTGCATAGTCGACTCGACCCGTAGATTCTTCACTCGACATATACAATAAAGATATCTTCTGTGGTATGTTTTTTGTTAATGGCTATCGACGCGTGTATTATAGCTGAAATAAATTCACAACGCGTTGCTTCGTTGGCATCCATCATAGTTTTTACATTTGATAATTTTAGAATTGTATCATCCATACAATGATTGAAGGCCTTATCGTTCTCGTCTATTTATTCGAAGACTATAAAAAAAATAGATTATATAACTGAAATTTATCAAACGATTCATCCGAAAAATGCTAAGAAAATAATGTGACACTTACCAGGTGTGAACTGTTTAATATTCATTATTCACCATTAACCTTATTTTTACGCAGCATTTCTTTCAGATCGTCCAGAGATTTATACGATGAATAAGTTCTTAATTTTTGTTTGGATATCTCATTGGTAAAATCTGCGAGAATAGTTGCTGGTCCGAAATTTTGTTTTTGTTGTCTTGAGAAAAATGACCAGATATTTTTTTAATACGCAAGATTTAAAATCATATTAAATAATTCCGGGCAAAATTAACTAGTTTAGTATTAAGTAACTCGGCTAGATTTAATTAATTCTGGCCAAATTATTAGTTTCGGCCAAAATTAATTAACTCGTCTAGAATTAATTGATTTTGGTCTATTTTAAATTTGAGAAATTTAATTAATAATTTTATTTTTTTGTTTGTTTTTAAGATAAACAAATTATTTATGTTATGGTTTTTATTAAAACTAATCATATATTATATATTTAGATAATTTTTTTTTTTTTTACATAGGTAAACATCATTTCTTTATTTGATTTGTATATTAAAAATATATATCGTAAAAGAAACAACATCTCTCAATTGTAAATACAATGAGTTTAATGCTAGCTTGCCTACAGAAACCAAATGACTAATATTGAAAATAAAATTTTAAAACAATATATTTTGTCAGTTAGTACCGAGCAGTTATGCTTACCTACTTGATATTGGAAGAAATAAAATTAGAATAGTTTTAGATTAGTTTAGTAATACATTTGGAAAAGTTGAGATTGTTTTGAATATAGGTGTTCATGACTAAGGTAGATAGATCAATTGTTGTTGTCAATTATTGTATGGATGAAGATTTTTGTGGATTAGATTTGGAGTCTGTTTGATTGTCTTTGATTATGTTGTTAGAAGATTTGTTTTTCCATTTTATATCATTTTGTAAAGAGATGTTGGCTATAGCACATCATGGTTTTTATATGGTATTATATAATTGTGTTAGGGCTTCAGTTGATGCTTGTGCCTAATTATTAAAGTCTAATAGAGAGAAGATGCTATCAGTGATGCTGCATGCTAGCTTTAGGACCTGCCATATATAAGTTATTGATTTTGAGTCACCATTAGATTGAAGAATAAGGTTGGTTTGCTTGATAATTTGGTTGGATTCTTTTGAAACTATTAGACATTTAAATATATGCTGTATGTTTTCAGTACGAAGTTCACATTATGAATAGTAAGAGTCTGGATATTGGTCTGAATATTGTTGATGTAGATTTTCTTATGTGGGAAGAGTTCTTGACAAGAGCTTGATATGAAAGGCAATTAGATCACTATATTTGTTATTTCGTGTATTCTTTAGGTTTTTGTTAGATTTATTAATAATTTTGGTGCCTTGAGGGCTATGAAAGGAGTCAAATGTTTTTAGTACTGATGAACTTTCCACTATTATATATGTTTTGATAATGCTGAGGATCTTTTTGCATCACCTGACGCTACTCCCCAACTGAGAGTTGTTGATTGAAGAATTTTCTGAAAAGTACAATGTTGGATTGTTCTAGATTATAGTATATTTAGCTCTTGGGTTTGACTTGGAGCTGGAGTAGATAAAAAGTATCATCTTGTTAATTTTCTGAATAATTGAGGAAAAATTGATTTTTGTCATTTTTCTAGGATAGCTGGAGGTCTCTTGGAGTATTCTTTTGTTGTTTCTTATTTCGATTTCACAATTGGAAGGGCATTAGTAAAGAAAATCGAAAAGAACTTGCAGCAGGTTGTCAAGTGAAAGGCCGGAATTGTTTAATTTGACTTTGAAGTTATTTACAAGAATATATTCTTGATAGCTTTGAATATGGTATGGCTGAGGAAAACTGATTTCCTGAAGTGTTGAAATGGGAGAAGAGTTGGAAAAAATATTTACTGATTGAAGAATATATTCGTTTTTTGGAAAAGTTCTTGAGATTTTTTCAATTATATTGCTTAGGCAATACTGGTTAGGATTTGAAGAGTTGAAAAGGATCCATAAAGAGGATGCTTCTGAGTTTGTAAAGTTCAATATGTATAAGCCAGCATTTGGAGTGTTAGCTAGATAGCCATTACATTTGGTAAGAATATTGTTATTGTCTATATTGAAATGTCTTCTCTTAAAATGAAGGTTTTCTTGAATATGGTAACATCTCTTGTATATTTTAACAATAGTACTAATATTGTGGATGAGCCAGAAGAATGCTTTGCGATTGGGTATTGATCCATGAGATTCTAATAAACTGCTGTGGTTGGTAAAGTTTTTGAACCAACAAGGTTCTGGTTCACACCAAATGATTCCTATATAAGCTATTAGTTGAAACCAAGAGAGTTTAATTGTGCTGTTGAACTTCATAAGTTAATTTGTGAACTGGATATTGAGAGCATTAGCAGTGTTAATTGCACTAGTTCTGGTGCTTGATTGGAGTTTGGCTAGTAAAAGGCCTATTGAGTTTCTTGTATTTGGATAATAATTTGGATATTCAGTTGAACAAATTTGAATTTTTAGGTTCTTGGTGATTCTGGTGATATAAAGTATTCAGTTATCTTGATTAAATACTTCTGGATTATATATTGAACAAGACCAGATTGCTTCTTTCCTTTGTATTAATTGTATTTTCTGTATTATATATTTTTTTGTATTTGGAATAGAAAGTTTGATTATTAGATTACCTATTAAAGAGAATTTTTGTCTTTCTTCAAGAAGTGCAATATTGAGGCCGCTATGGCTGATAAGTATTGTATTTGAGCATTTGGAGTTTATTTTGTATGTTGATTTAATGAGTTTGTTGATTTTTGCTTGCAGACAGTTAAGTGTAGATTTGTTAAGAAAGGTTATTGTAAGGAAGTATTCAAATTTTTCCATGATTACCCATTTATATATTTGCTGTTTGATTTGACCTTTTCAATTTTATTTGTTTAATTTTTGTAAAATGGTATTTACTGATTGGTTGAAAGCTTTTCTATTGGTTTTGAGAAAATTTCTAAGAGAAATAAGCATTTCTAAGTATTTTATGCTTTGATGTGGTTTTAGGACTTGTATTTGATGGTCACTAAATTTTATAGTGTTGAATATTCCCTGTTTGGTCTTGACATTGCTTATAATTTGAGTTTTGTCTTTGTTGCAGGTAATGTTATTAATTGAAAAGAATTGATTGGCAATATTTAGGAGATTTTCCATTCTTGATTTGGAATCTGCAATAAGTACAAGATCATTCATATAGGCTAGTGCATTGGATGCGATATAATTTTAGATAGGTTGTTACAGTATTTGGATAACTGTGTAATTAGGGAATTGTAGAATATTGCCCATAGTATAGAAGATATTGTTTCACCTTGTTCAACACTATTGTTGACTGTAAAGGGGTTAGTTGCTCCAGAAAGAATGTTGATAGACACTTTTCTGTTGCTAAGCAGATTTATAAACAGGTTGATAGTGGGACTTGAGCAGTTGATTCTTTCAAGTAATTTTTTGATTGCAGGGATAGGTGCTAAGTCAAAAGCTTTTGCTATGTCTAGAGATACAAATCAGAATTCCTTATTATTTGCATTAACAACTTGTAGGGCAGAGTTTACCATTGATAGTGGTTTCATGGTACTTTAATTAGACAACCCAATGCAGTTCAGTTCAGAAATAATATTATTGCTTTTGAGAATTTTGGTGAGTTTTTTGTTGATGATTCCTGTAAATACTTTTCTGGTTAAGTCAACCAGTGATATTGGTCTAGTGTTATTGAGTTTGTGACTCCATGTGAGTTTTTTGGAAATAAATGTAATGATAGTTTGTTTCCACGATTTAGGAATGTGTGAAGATGTTAGTATATGATTGAAAATAGTAGAGATGTGGAAAATAGTTCTTTTGTCCATGAGTTTGATGATGTCATAACTGATTCCAGACATTCCAGGGACTTTGTTTTTGAGAAGATTGTGTATTGCTTCATGGATAGTTGTGGAGTTGAAGGGTTGAACTAGATCACTGTATATTTCTTGATTGACCAGTTTGATAGAATATTCATCATGTTAATTTGGAATTTGTCCAGGTCAAAGCTTTTTTCTCTCAAGATATTTTTGAAGTACTTGTTGATTATTTCTTGGATCGTTTCTGAATCATTTTCGATTTGATCACTATTATCATAGATTTGACGAATGTTAATTTTTGGTTTGATTAATTCCAAAGCCTTCTTGATATAGTTTTTGTGTTTGTTATAGAAGTTTTCAACTAGGTTTTCCATATTGGAACAGTATTCTTATATAAGTTCTTATTGAGATTGATTTAGTGCTTCTCTAATTAGAAGTTTTTTGAGCTTTTATAAATTTTTGGTCGAAATTTTATTGTAATGGTTAGTAATTCTATAGAGCTCGCTGAGTTCAGGATTTAGATTAGATGAAAGACAGTTGTTTTTAAGCTGGATCATAATTTTGTTTATTTCTCTAGTTTGTTTTTTGAGCTTTTTCTTTGCAGCAGTGCGATGGTCTTTTTGAACTGGATTAAGGTAGATTTTTTTGATATTTTGTTTAAAGAATTCTTGTAGATTTTATTGAAGCTTTCCCAATCTGATGTGGATAACAGGTCTGACCAGAAGTCTAGTTCATTGATAAAGTCATGAATCTTTTCCTTGGGTGTTTTGTCAATGTTGAACTTGTAAGTGGATTTTACTTTCTGAAGTTTGAAGTAGTCTAATTTGATTGAAACTGTACTATGATTGGTAGGAATGATGTCTGTGGTCTGGACTTCATACCAGATTATTTTGGAGGCAAGGTTTTTTGATATCCATACTTGATCGATTCGAGAAGTACTTGTGGTAGTAATGTAGGTAAATGCTCTTTTGTCAAACTGGTAATCAATGTCCACATAACTATTCAAGAGTTTGTAGATCAGTTGTTTGTAAGGTGATAAAGGGGCTCCAATAGATGGGCTGCCTTTGAAGTAAGAGTTAAAGTCTCATAATATTTATATATGCTAATATTATTATTAACTATAAATTTATTTATATTTTATTTATATTTTATAATCCAATAATACAAACTTATATCAGTTAATAGGCCTATATATTAAATAGAATTAATTAAAAGATGAAAATTCTGTTATAATTTTAAACTATTAAATTTAATTTGTTTAAATAAAATCATATTATTATTATTTTTTTTATTTTTATTTTATTGTAAATAAATATAAAATAACAAGACTTTATTAATTAAATAATAATCTTGTTATTATATTGAGCATCCTTTTAAGTTAATGCTAGCCTATTATATATAAAACTTCTAAAATTATATTGCATTATAAGGATGATATCATAATAAAAATAGTTTATAAATAATTTATATACAATATGTTTATAAATAACAAAATTAATATATAACTTAGGTTTTTGCTATATTGTTTGAATCTGTAAAACTATAATAGCAACAGTTAAAAGTATTGCAATATTAATTGGATTTTAATAATGTTGTTTGCATTTATAAAATTATATAGTAACTGTTTAAAGGCAAAATAAAATATAAAAAAATCAAGGTTTTTATATAAATATAATATTAAAGTAATTGTTATACTAATTGAAAAAGTTGTTAAGATAATATAAAATAGAATTATTATTATTATTATTTTAAACAAGTTTAAACTGGTTTGATTATTGTTGTATGGAATTGTTAATATTTTTTTTTTGAAGGAGCAAAAGGCTATTACACTTTATTTTATTATTATAATTTTAGACTTGCAGTATAAGATTTATAACACATTTACAGTATAACATATATCTCTCTTTGCTAAGAAAAGTTAAATGCTAGGCTCTGCAAACACGTTCCATCCTCTGTACTCCTTAGCATCACCCAAGAATATAGAAAAAGAAAATTCAAAACCTATATTATGCCTCGGATGGCGTCTAGCTATCTAGAAAATTTGAATATCTAGCCATATGAAGGCGCTGCAACCACTATATACAGGTTGGCCTCCAAGTCATAACTAGGATTGGCAAGCTTGTTTTCCAAATATGGCTTGATGTATGGCAAGCCGAGATGTGTTCCACCTTATACTTCCTCTGGATAACTGCTTAACTAATTAAATGGCCGCTACATCGATGCAGACATCTCGTGGAGATTAGTCTTTCATCCAACCACCTAGTATTTGACCTTCTCTATCCTTCTAGGATTGCGACAGATTACAGGTTGACTAGGCCTGTGGCTATTGCCTATATCTGCGACAAGTAGGAAAGGAGACAGCCACTCTTCATAAGAAGCTTTGTATATATAGCTGCACCATTTAAGTATTTGAGTAGAATCCAGTACTGGTATAAGGCAGAAGAAGGTAAAGGAAAAGTGTTTGGATGTATAGTAGTGGTTGTTGAAAGAAGTTGTCAGACATAATGGAGTTGGAGTTTCTTATAGATGTTGTTACCTAATCTTGTACAATGAGCCTACATTGTCGGAGAGGTGAGCGAGAAACTTTCGTTGTTGTCACTAGCTCATGTTGCAGGGGTACTAGAATCCCTAGTCTTCATGTATTATCCTACTAGGTTTTCCAATTACCAGCATGACACCTGTAACTAACCTAGCTTATTGTTAGCTGCATTGGCATTGACTGTCATATCTTTCTGGATACAGTGGGGTGCAACTCCTTGGATACTTTTGGATAATAATAGTTGTACACCGGTTTCTTAGATGTATCTAGTTTAATCATCAACAAGTAAACAACACTGGGTTTGGTAATGATAATCATGTTGATCTTTTGGAGGAATAAACCATCTGTCCTTTTTCTGTAAGGCCATGGAAGAAAGAAAATTCCGAAGCCCACGTCTTAAGAGAAGTTACCACTTCTGCATATGGTCTTGAAAAAAGTGAGCCAACTGGCCAGGGGGTTAATATTATGGAAAGCGAGTTTTATAAAAGAAAGAGAGGCCTAAAAAGAAAACCTTCAGGAAGAAGGAAAAACCTAACTTCGGCAGGAAAGGGGAAAAAAAAAGGAGAGGGGGTAAGCTTTATATAAAGAAGTCTATAGAAAGAAGGGGTAAGAAATAGGAAAGGGGAAATAAAAGGATATGGGAGAGGGAAAAGGAAGAAGGGGGAAGGGAAGAGCAAAGAAAAAAATAAACAACTCAAAAAATTTCCTAAAAAGGAAATTTTTAAGTGCAGAAAGGGGAGTGGGAAAGAGTTTTTTTTTTTTTTATGAAATTGTTAATATATAATTAATTGTTAAATATACAATATATGGATTATTTAAAAAAATCAAATTAATTTTATTTTTAAAGTTTTTATATAGAATAAATTAATGTATTATTGTATATCAAATAAAAAATAGTTAAAAAAGTTAAGTTGAAACAAGTAAGAGATTCAGTAACTTTATTTAATTATAATTTTAAAAATAAATTTATGATTTTAAAAGATAATATAATATAATAAAAATAAAATAAAAATAAAAAAAAATATATAAAAATAAAAATAAAAAAAGATATATAAAAATAAAATTATAAAAAAAGACTGTTATAAATCTTTTTTATATAAACAAAAACCAAACAAGATTTTTAAACTTGTATAGTCTTTGCCTTGAAATTTTATTTCAATATTACAGTAGTTTTTAAAGTTTTTATAATCTTAAATTTATGATATATATAATATATTGTGGGAGTAAATGTTATTGGCAAGGTGTTCAATTTGACTGAGGTAAGTAATTTCTCTTTATTAATTTACTTTAGTCATCACTATCTGCTTCCCCCTATTCTAAAGAATAAATGCTAATATTTTTATACTTTTACAAAGAAACTAGAAGAACAATTTAGAAATAAAATAAAAGATAAAATAATTTCTACTACTTTTTGGCACTATTATTTAATCTAACACTAATTATATTATTATTATTTCATTACAAGTGCCAGTTTCAGATCTATTTTTACTTTACTTTTCTTCTTGCAATCCTGGGTTGATTATTATTCACATGATCCAATCAAGTTACTATCATTTTTATTTTCCCTCTCACAACTTCCCTACATCTATTTTATGTATCCCATGCATTAAGATTTCCACTAGGCATGTGTCTGTTGTTATGTTTCGTTTAGTAATGGCCAGTGGATTATTTATTTGCTAGGTCATTGATCATTGATTGTTAGTTGTCAGTCATCTTCTCCTTTCACTTGTACCTAATCTTCCAGTTGATTATTGATTAGGCAGTTTTCGTGATATGGCATCAGTATAGTTAAGGATCCTAACGATTCTCTTCGATTCTGTATTCGATTCTCAAGTTTATATCAAATTTAATAGGTGGGGTATACCCCACCATCATTTTTAATAGTGTTCCGAACCTTATGTGATTCTGTTCGATTCTATTCGATTCCAATTTTCGGAACCATAAGTATAGTATGGCTTTCTCTTTAGCACGTGTCATTCTGATGTTGTTGCTTGCCCAGTCTTGTTGTCAATGCTTTCGTCTGTGGTAATGATATGGCCTGATGCGATCTGTGATAAACTATTGATGACGTTTCTTCTCTCTTTGTTTGATGACCTTTCAGTCCCAGTTAATTATAGTTGCATTATCTTGTCTTTGTGTCTCTTCAGGTAATGTCGTCGAGTATGTCATCATAGCTTCTTTTTTGTTCTCCTGTAGTATCCATCATCTTATGCTGGTTCTGCCAGGCTCCATACCATTTTGTATGGGATCATGTTCTCCTTCTTGATCATAATAATCTGTTGGAGCGAACTGATCTTTTGCACTGGACAGGTTGAGTGTCATTGTGGTTGCATACGAGTTTCTGGGTTTATACTTCTCCATCTTTCTGGAGGTGTGTTGTAGCATATATCCTGATGTTTCATTACTGGCATCCTGTTTTATGTTATCTGGGGCTGCCATAAACTCATTGTAAGGTAGCTCTTAATTCTCTTAATAGTTTTCTGGAGCAGTTCTTTCAACTTTCTTTACATGGTCTCCCATCAGTACAACTTTTCTTTGCGGCTCGAGGCATATACCTTCATCTTGATCCCCTTCCATGATGTCACATGATGGCATGCCTTCAGATTGATCCTTTATTTCCTGTAAATAATACTTTATTTTTGGGTCTTGTGTGGCTATTCTATTGATTTCTTCCAGTTTGCCCTCCTTCATTCATTCATTGTTGTTCTGGTATTTTGCACTTTCTTGTGTAAGTGGTGCTTTATAGTTGGTAAGTTCTCGAGGTTCATCTGTTGGGTTATCAGTTCCTTCCTCATTGATTGGGGCTTCATCGTAAGTGGGTTTTGTGATTTTGTCCATTAATTCTGCTGATGTTCCGTGTCTTTCTTCCAGGGTCTTGTTTTGGTCATTGCTCGTGATTTCTTCTGAGGACTTGTTCTTGTTTCACAGGTCAGAAAGCGTCTCTTTGCCACCATCGTACGATGGTCGGTTCTCTAATTATTGTCTCAGCTCTCCTCCCTCCTCTCTGAGTTGGGCTTCATTAATCTGTGATGACCCTCGGGAAAACTTGTCCTTCCTTGGACAATCTTCGACATTGTAGTCTCTCTTCCTAGAGTCTCCATAATCCAAATCCTTTTCCGTCAGCATTTTTGGCTCATTCGCGCCTTTCTCGGCAAGAGCAGCAGGTTTGCCCAATCTCCTTCTTTTTGACATTTGCTCTCTTATCTCTTAGGTACAGATTTTTAATTCTTTCATCTTGCTTGCTTTCTTTTTGTTTTCTACTGCTGCTTTGAGCACTCTTCATAATGTGATGGTGTTTCTAATGGCAGGTAATGACAATACGTCATTCTTCAGTCCAAACACAAGCAACCATCCTGCCACTTTCCTAGAATAGTCATCCTTAGGATAAAGCTTCTTGAGTAGCTTTCTAAATCTTCGGACGTACTCGGTTACTGCCTTGTTCTTCCTCTGCTTAAAATTCTCTAATTTTGACTGCTATTGACACTATTGCTCAAGCAATGTGAAGTGTCGCAGGAAGGTTGGCACAAAGCTGCTCCCATCATTACTTTCATTCCAATAAACAAACTAATTGCAATTTTCTTCATACCATTCTTTAACAGTTCCTTCCAGGTAACTGTCTATTCTTCTTAGTTTCTTATTATTTAGTCAACTGTTGAATTTGGCAGCCTTCTCGTAGTATTTTAACTATTGTTATAGGTTTTCTCTGGTGTCCCAACTTTTAGATTTCTTGTATCATTATGGGTGTATGCTAGTCCTTGTAAGGTATTTAACCACTAAAAAAACCTGATAGTTATATCACTATTTAAATATTATCACAGATGTCACACAGGTCTGTTTGTTTGTTTGGCTATTCTGGAGTTTGGCTCTAACAGTCGATTCTTACATCAGGTTAAGTCGTTATATCACGTAAGTGTCTGAAAGGACAAGAGTAAAATAAAAGAAAGTGAAATTAAGAAGTCAGGTGATAAAATGAAAAAAAGGTTCTAATAAATGAATTTTTTTTTTTATAATAGGGGTATGAAAATGTCGAAAAAGGTGTTTGCATGAAAATATTGGAGGGATAATAATGCATCAAATCTCATAGTCACTACCAAAAATGTGGGAGTAGATGTTATTGACGAGACATTCAATTTGACTGAGGTAAGTAATTTCTTTTTATTAATTCACTTTAGTCACCATTATCTGCTTCCTCCTATTCTAAAGAATAAATGCTAACATTTTTATACTTTTTACAAAGAAACTAGAAGAACAATTTAGAAACAAAATGAAAGGTAAGAGAATTTCTACTACTTTCTGATGTTATTATCTAATCTAACACTAATTATATCATTATTATTTCATTACAAATGCCAATTTCAGATCTATTTTTACCTTTCTTTTCTTTTCACAATCCCAGGTCGATCATCAGTCACATGACTCAATTGCATTACTATTATTTTTATTCTCTCTCTCATAATATATAAAAAGTAAAAAACAATTTTTCAAAAAAATTATTATAAAAAAAAATTTTTAAAAAATTAGTAATAAATATGAGTTTTTTTTTAATTATAATAATAATATTATAAAAAAATTATATAAAACAATAGTTTTTATAAATCAATCCAAAGATATCGCAATTATTTCTTTATATTTAAATAAATTATAATCTGTTAATATTTATTATTTATATTATATTATATTTTGATTTATATAATTATAAATTTCAATATTTAATTTAATTTTTTTAATAAATACTTTGAAATTGATCTTTAATTAATATATAATAATATTTATAAAAAATAACAATTATAAATTTGATTATAATTTTATAATTAATAACATTTCATATTACACTGCTCTCTGCAATATGAACTTAGTAGGTTAGATGGGTTTTAAACTAGTAGTAGGGTTCTCTCCCTGCAGAAAGTCCCACCTGATGTGTGGATATATCTTCGGGTATTTAAATGAATGCATAATTAGGTTATAAGTAGTTGGTGTAGCTAGTCTTATAGCAATATAGATATTAGACAATAGGAATAGCAATGGATCAAATCAGATCAGATTTTAACTAAATTTAATTCAATTCATTTTTAAATATAAAATTCGAATTTGAATCAGATATAATATAACTTAATTCGATTTGATTTGAATTCAGTTTGAATCTAATTTTACTTAATTCGATTTGTATTCGATTCAATTCAATTTGATTTGATTTGACTATTTTGTCAATAGTGATTTTTATTATAACATATTTACATTAATTTAATTTAAAAAGCTGTTAATTGGAAATTTTTTATTTTTAAATATAAATTAAAATTACTAATTTATCCATGATCAATTATTGTTTTCTATATTTATATACTGTATATTCCTTCATAATTAGTATCATTTTTTTTACTATTTTTTTTATCAATTTTTCAAGAGCTTGTAAAGCATAGGAATCTGTTGATAATTGATTATGTCAGTAATCCACACAATATTTTTCTTATTTTCCTTCCCTCTATTTTTTTATAGCTGTTACTGTTTTTTTTGCTAAATTTTGTAACAGTTCACAAGTTACATTCTCTATCGGCAAGACTGTAGTGCCATATAATTCATCTTCTGACCAACAGTAAAGAGTATTTTCTGAAAAATATTAAAAATTTAAATCGGCAATATTTTAAATTTTTAAAAATTTAACATTTTTTTTAAAAATACCTGTTATTTCTACTTTAATTCCCCATTTGGCTAAATAAAAATTACCACTATTGAAATCTCTTTCCTGACAATTGAATTCCCACTATTGACAAGTCATATTCTTCTCAAATAGGTTGCTACAATTGCATATTCTAAAAAATTAATATTGATATATGCAAACTTGCTATATCTTTAGGCTACATAGGCCTTACAAAGACCTAAAGGGGGTGGTTTAAAAAAATTTTTTTGCTATTGCAAAAAATCATAATTCCTTTATTAACAGTACTATACTGATTGCCATTTAATTAGAAAAGATCAAATTCTTTGGTTTTTTTTTGGATACTTGAAGTCACATCCTTAGGAAATATATTCATAGTATAGTTAAAAAGAAAGCTGTTCATTGCTACAACATTTTCTTCTTATAAATATTGTCTTTCAGATCCTAATAATTTTACAAGTATGTTGTGGACATGTGTAAAAATTCCACTTTTTCTTGTTAAAAAATGCCTGCAAGTATTTATATATTAATAAAATTTAAAAAATCGAAAATAGACTTATTTAAATATAATATACCTTGCTACTCTTAAAGCATTTTGGTCCAGTTTTTTTATTTCAGATGATCAGGCAACTTGTCTTCATAAAATAAACATATCAGCAATTGTGTTTCTCATAAGTTCAAGTACATTAGAGCCAATTTGGTTTCAGTATATAGCAAGTATTACTTTGTTTAAGGTTTTGTTACAAATTATTATTTCTTCATTTTTTTTTATAATTATTATAAAACAGAGGGCAGTATTGATTGCAGGTATATAGGAAAGCAGAGGGTTTTTTTTTCATAAGTTTTTATTTTTTTATTTTTTTTTCATTATAACTAGGAACAGGATCCAAAAATATTGTTTTTATTGCATATACTTTGTCAAGATATTTTTAAGTCAAGAGATTTTCTCTGACCTACAATATAATATAATTAAATTAATATAGGTTTTAAAAAAACATATAAAATTTAGACTTATAAAATTTTTATGAATTTTTTTTTTATTTTTTTTTGCTTCGGCAATATCAACTTTCAAAATATCAGCAGTAGTTTTTATGTCATTTTCATAACAATTAAAGAATCTCAAGAAATCTTTTCACCTATTTTCCTATTTTTTATTTTATCACTAATAAATTTAAAAATATATACAAAAACTTTTGATATATTTATATTATGATAAGAATCGATAGTAGGATCAGAAATAACCAAACGAACACTCAACAAATTATAAGTTTGGTTATTGATTTTTTGTAATATAAGAAAATGCAAGGCAGCGATAAAGATTTCTAATAATAGATAGAAAAAACAATTTAATATGTATATATATAACCTTGTTACATGAAACATAAATAATCGACAGTCCTGTATATCAATACTTGTTTATCGACTGCACTGCTTGTAGCAATTAGACTTTTACAGTCGAAGCACAGAAAACATACATATAAACATAGCAATTGACAAAAATTTCAGTTACTAGTCCAGAGTTTCCTATTGAGGCAACATTGAAATATCTATAGCTGTAAATAGCATTTTAATAACACTATTTGCTTGTACTAGTTTAGGATTTCTTACTGGAGGCACATGGCATATATTGCTGCAATATACCTGACTGCAAATTAACATAATAAAGGTTACTAGTCCAGGGTTTTCCACTGAAGGCAACATCAATACTATTCAATACCTACAAACAAGTTCTTATAATGAAAATATCTTGCCTACACTAGTTCAGGATTTTCTACTGGAGGTATATAGCAACTTTCAATACAGAATACAGGTAAATAGTCAATTTTGTTTCTTCCTTTTTTTACCCTTTACAGCAAGAGATTGGTTATTTCTGACAGCTTTACGACTTTCAAAAATCTGTTCCATGTTTCTATATATATATTTTTTGTAAGTATTAATATTTGTACAGCAGTCAACAGCAATGTTTTTACATTTAATTAATGCTTACTTACAAGTAAATATGTCAAAAATTCAAACTAAATAAAAAATAAATATATAAAATCAATAAAATATATAAAATTAATAAAATTAATAAACTGATAAACATTTCAGGTGTTGATATAGTTGGATATATAGGTTATATATTGCTTACCTCTGTATATTATCAGTAGAAAATGACAAATGAAAAAAAAAATAATCAATAACTAAATAAAAAGCAAATAATAAAGTCAAAATTTAATAAAAAAAAATTGACAAATTTTACAAGTGTCAATATAGCCAGGTATACTAATTACATGTTACTTACCTCTATATCTTGTCAATAGCAAAACAGCAAATGACAAATAACAAGTGGCAAGCAACAGCAAAAATCAGTAACTAGACAGAAAAGTAGATATATAAAATTGATAAAATTAATAAAATTAATAAAATCGATAAATGTTATAGGTATTAATATAGCTGAATATAGGGCTCCTAACAATATCATTTCAATACCACTTCAATATTACCATATACCACTGTATACAATACCCCAGGTATTAATCAATTTACCTCCTAATAA